GTTTCAAAAGTAGATTGAGTGTTGTATCTCTTCTCCCCACCTTCTGATGCATCGTCTCTCCTGGCGACGACAGGGCATGCATTCAACGCCGGCCGGGTCCGTCTGAATCGGAGGCACCGCGCGCCCTTCCCCTCTTGTCGCTAGGGCAGCGCTGGCTCCACGTGGAGCGCGAAACAGAGTGTGGCATACGGATGTCCGGGCGCTAGCACTACCGTTATATAAACAGGAGGTGCAGCAAGGATTAGGCAATAGCAGTGGTAAGTAAGTGAAGTGCTCCAGTGAACAAACAACACTCAATGGCCATAGGCTCAGCAACTTTAGCGGTGGTGTTAGCGATCGCGGTGGCCGCGGCAGAGACTCCAGCACCAGCAACGCCGATAGGGCTGGCCGACTGCAACACCAGCTGCGGGGCGTGAGCGTGCCGTACCCTTTCGGCTTCGGGCCGCCGCGCTGCTACTGGCCGGGGTTCAACCTCACCTGCGACCGGAGCAGCGGGCAGCTGCTCCTCGGCGACGGCACGCTCCGGGTGGCCGAGATCTCCCTCCGGAACGCCACGGTGCGCGTGGTGCGCAGCGGCTCCATCATCGACAGCGCCAGCTCACCTCTGACCGGAACGTCTCCTTCGGCAGCAGCTTCATGGACCATGGCTACATGCTGTTCAACGGCAACGAGCTGGTGCTCTCCGGCTGCAACCTGGTGGCGACGCTGGTGGAGGACCTCGGCGTCGGGCCCGGCAGGTCGGGCATCATCAGCGGCTGCGCGTCCTTCTGCTCGTTCAGCAACAAGAAGGTGGACAGCGTCGGGCAGACGGGGGCGGGCAGCAAGTACTGCTCCGGCATGGCGTGCTGCCAGGCGCCCATCAACTACCACAGCTCGCCCACGCAGGTGCGCCTCAGGTGGCTGGACGCCGGGAACCACAGCGAGGTGCTGACGTTCCTGCCGACCTACGTGTTCGTGGCGGAGGAAGGGTGGTTCGACCAGAGGCCGCTGGCCGACGAGCTGCTGAGCGTGAAGCAGAGCCCGTCGAGGGCGGCGCTCGAGGTACCCCTTGTCCTCCTGTGGGGGGTCAGGCAGGGCCTTCCACCGCTGCCCAACTTGCCGGCCAACGCCACCACGGCATGCTCCGCCGACGCAGACAGCGTGCTCTGCAAGAGCGACCACAGCGTGTGCGCGGCCGGAAACTTGGGCTATACGTGCCAGTGCCAACAAGGTTACGACGGCAATCCTTATCTCGCCCATGGATGCCAAGGTTAGTTACATGTTACTCCAGCTCTACTAATGTGCCTGATGGTGGTTTCTTTTCTACAAATGGTTTCTACATGAAATTTTCAGTGATTACTGAATATCTTCACAGTTAGTTTCAATCAATAACTTTTTTGGTTCTCACATGTAATCGTCTCTAATAATCCTTCATCATATATAAAACATTTTTGGTGCCCGAGTCATCCGTGCTTGATGATGGCCTTTTTTATGGTGCCAATCCTGTGGTGCTGGTTACCAAGTTTAGCCATACTTGTATCATACCACAACATTTATTTCAACTTTTTTTTTATCTTCTATTCAAAAAAGATAGTTTGCTTCTATTGAAAAAAAATATTTTGCTTCTATAACTAAATTGATTGTGACAATCAAGACCTAGTAGTATCTTTTAGTAAAATCCATGACGTTGCCCGAAGCTGCTTCAATTCGCGAATCAAGAGTTCATGACCTATCTTTTACTGAAAACCACCGCGTTGTCTGAAACTGCCTTGTGAATCAAGATCTATCTTTTACTAAACTCCATGACCTTGTCTGAGGCTGCTTTGTCAACTCGGAAGGAAAACGTCCCAATGACTGTCAGTAGAGTCTGGTTCGGCTGGTATTAAAGCCAGCTGTGAGAGAAAAATACTATAGATTTTAGCTGATAAGCCGGCTGATAAGTTCAAGCGAACAGGCCCATTCCACGTCATGCATGTGAATAGTAGCCAGGTCCACCTAGACCGAGTGAAACGACGGGAGTAGTGGACTTGCATTATTACACTGTCTCCGACAACCGTTACCCAGAATATCAGACCCATTCCACGTTTGGGTAGCGCTACAGGCAAATGAATCAATACCTATTTTTGGTCTTCTCCAACAACAAGACCCAAAAGAGAACCCTTTCTGCAAATGGATCTCCAGGAGAGAGGATACTCAAATTTGGATTATACCTCTCCTGACACCCAAAATGGGTCTTTCATATAGTTACTCTGTTGGAGGCTATAGGTATTCTGTTAAAAACCTATTTTAGGTTTGAGTCTCCTGATGAGTCTCCTGTTGGAGGTAGCCTTAAGCGCATTAACTTGATAAAGTCGTCGTTGATGGCACGCAGCTGGTCAGGCTCAGACATGTGCGTGGGCTAGCAAACTTAGAGATCTCCACCGGCTTTCTAATAACTTATTACTATCGTTTTTTAAATATTAGGAAAGTTGCTACAGTATTAACCCAATATATTTTCTCTAATACCCATGTGCAAGATATGTCCCGTAAGGTAGCGTTTGATTCGGAGTCAAGGTGGGGTGGGGTGGGATCGTCCTATCTCTTGTTCGTGGGACAGGACGAGGATGGGACAATTCTATTTTCTGTTTGGTTGAGGAGGGATGGAATCAACCCATTTTCTGTTTGGTCGATTTTATTTTCTGTTTGGTTAAGGAGGGATGAGATCAACCCATTTTCTGTTTGGTCCAGGGACATAAAAAATGGGACCAGTTACTGACGTATGGGCCCCATTTGTTAGTTTTTTTTCTTTTTTTTCTTTTTCTTCCTTCTCCCCTTATCTCTTTCCCCAACCGCCTGCTCTCGCACCGCTCCCCGCTCGCGGCGCGACGCCCCATGCCTCCGATGCCGGGCGCTGCCCCCCCGAGCTTCCTCCATCGGCCAGATCGGCCACGCCCCGCGCCTCCTCCTCCGCGCGGATCCCCAGAGCGCGGGCGACGGTGGCCCCCCGAGGTGACAGCTCCCCGAGTCTTCTTCCTCGACGAGACTGACCGCGGCCTACCCCAGGCCTCCTTCGCCGGCGAGGCCGGCCATACGCCGTCCGTGCCTATTCCGTCCTTCGCCCCAAGCTCGGCCGCATGCAGCCATGGGCCTCCCTTGCCTCGTGCTCGGCTGGGCGCTGCCGCGCGCCTCCTTTGCTGGCGAGTGGCCATGGACCTCGCTCACTCGTCCTCTTCCTTGCCCGCGGCATGGCCTCTTCCTCACCCGCGACATGGCCGGCGGCGAAGCTCACCCACCTGCGCCACCTCTCGCTGCCTGCGCTCGTCTTCCTCGTGCGCCCATGGCTCATCCTAGGGAGGATGACTCTGTCCATCCAAAAAAAGGGTCGGGAGCCACGGCATCAGTCGAGAATATTCGCAGGTGGGATGCAGGTGGGATGGCACTATTTCACCTTGCCTCTCAACCAAACAACCCCAAAGTAGGATATCCCACTCTCATCCCACCCCATCCCACCAACCAAAGGCTACCTAAGTGTGTAGGTGAAAAGATAGTTCAAATGTGGTACTTAGGGTCCCCAAGCTATTGGGACAATATGATAAGAAAAATATTAGTGGCCACTAAAACAAGGAGATGTATTGTGAAACTACCAGAGCTAGGAAAAAACATAGCTATCCCTAATATAATAGTTTTATAGGGATAAGAGGATGTACTGTAGGGTCTATTTATTTCAGCTTGTATCTAGATTTTATCGGCCAAAAGTTAGAAGCTGAAATAAACCTCTTAGTCATCGAGTTGGTTTTGAAAAAGCTCAAAAGCTGCCTTCTGAGAAAATAAACTCAAAGCTCAAAAGCACATTGAGAATAAATTTTCTTATTTTTGGTGTGCTCAAAAGCTAAATATTTATTATAAAAACCAATAACAAAAAGAGAGAATTATGTATTTGGTACTAAAACAAATCGGTCTTTCATATTTGGCACTAGAAAATTTGAACTTCCTTATCTAGCACCGAGTTGAAATTTTCTTTCGTAAATGGCACTGTTGTCCATTTAGACCAGTAACGGTGTCAAGTGGCTAGCAAAATGACATAAATACCCTTGATTGTAGTAAAAGTCCATGGTGCTAAATAGGGAAAAAATAAATAGACAAGTTGTCAAATAAAAAATCATAAATATCATAAATATACTTTGAACTACAATGTGGATTTTTGATAATTGAAGACTGCAAATAAATAATTAATAAATTTCAAATTTGTAATAGCAGGTACAGATTATGCCCCTCACTTTTCCTTTCATCTCAGTCACAGATCAAGGATGCATGGCTCAGGATGGCTGCTGTTTGAAATACGTAACTTATATTTTCAAGGTATTTATCTTTTAGTTTTCTAAAAAAAAGAGAGTACATGCCGTCATCGTAACATCATGGCTCAAGAGCAGAGCACACCGTGCATGGCTCGGCCGGCGTTTGACGCCGAAAGCGCCGCGTGGGCGGCGAGCACGCTTGGCCCGAAACAGCTGGAGCTCGCAGCCTTGGCGGCGCGTGAGCACGCAGCGGGAGCTCACGGCTGGGGCGCTGCGGCTGGAGACGCTGTCTTCTTTGAACTCGCCCGACACATGTTTATTCTTGCTGCCGCTGCTCGCCATCGACGGCCATCGCGAGCTTCGCCCGACATGAAACATGTTTCTTTGCTGCTTGCCATTGGCGGCGCGACGAGCTCGTGCTTTCGGGCGTGAGCGAGCCGAGGCGCGCGTGGCGAAGCGGCCCGGCTGGCGGCGCATGGAGCACATCATGCAGCACAATCATGCGGGCGAGCAGCAGCAGCACGCCGGCCGCGTCCTCCGCACGCCGCCCAGGCCGCGAGCTCCGCTCACCCACGTGCTGCTGCTGCGCGCAGGAGAGGCTGCGTTTTGCGCAGCACAGCCGCCGCTCATCCCACGCCCGGAGCCACATGACCAGCGTCGCGTCAGCGGCATCGCGTCATCTCTCTGGACAGACTAGTTTTACAACAAATTCCACTGAAACCGTGCCTGCCATAATTCTATAGACTACTAGACGGCACGCTTGGTGTTGGTGGAGCTATGGTCTTGGACGAACAGATTTATCTCCTCCACGAACTTGCCGGAGTCGGCGAGCTCCGGGAACGCGTGGAAGCCGTGGACAGCGTCGGGGTACTCGACCACCCGCACCGGCTTCCCCTTCCCGCGCAGCTCCTCCACGTACCTAGCCTGCCAGTCCTTGAGCACATCCTCGCCATGAACCGCGCCTGCGAGGCTCCGTTCCGGGAGCGCCTGGGCGCCTTGCTGTCGGAGGATCAGCAGCGTGGGACGACGTCGTGTGCCTGGTCGCTGACGCCCACCTGCTGATGCTGTTGGATGTGGCGCGGGGGCTCGGCGTGCCCACGCTGGCGCTGCGCACTGGCAGCGCTGCGTGCCTCTGCATGTTCGCGGCATTCCCCATGCTATGCGACAAGGGGTACTAGACGGCGCAAGGTAAGGACGCGCACGCTCTCATCCATGACGAACGCAAGTGCACGACACTAGAACCCACCTCATGCATGCTCCTGAGTGTTCCATGATTCGGTCCGCTGCAGAGTCACAGCTGGAGGCGCCGGTGAGGGAGCTGCCGCCGTACCACGTCCGGGACTTTTCGTCCACCACCAGAGCCTATCACGGCGTAATAAGCGAGGTGATTTCCCGTATAGTGACGGCTGTGACGACCTCCTTGGGCCTCATCCTCAACACCATGGATGCGCTCGAGTCCGGCGAGCTCGCGTCGCTCCGGCGAGACCTTGGCGTGCCCGTGCTCGACATCGGCCCGCTCCACAAGCTCTCTCCAGCGGCCTCGAGCAGCCTGCTCTTGCAAGACCGTGGCTGCCTTGAGTGGCTCGACGCGCAAGCCCCGACGTCCGTGCTCTACGTCAGCTTCGGTAGCCTCGCCAGCATGTCCACGGCCGAGCTGGTGGAAACCGCCTGGGGCATAGCCAACAGCGGCCACCCCTTCTTGTGGAAACCGCCTGGGGGCATAGCCAACGCGTCGGCGAGCTCGACGCCCTCGCCGCACACGCGTGCGGCCTCGTGGTCCCACGTGGCGCCCTCCGGCAGGAACTCCCTCCAGTAGTGGTCGGTCCCCGCCACCGACGGCGCGGACACCCCATCCAGCGCCACCTCGGCCACCGTCCGCTCCTCCCCGCCGAAGAACGGCTGGATCAGGACAGCGCCGGTGATGCGGAGGTTCGCGGGCAGTGACGCGGACGCGGACGCCGCCGCCCAGCGCTGCGACACGTGGTGCGTGATATTGCCGCCCGCGCTGTCGCCAACGAGGAAGCAGCTGGAGAGGTCGACGGGGACGTGGGCCGCCGGCAGGGAGTCGGCGTTGGCGTCGAGGTAGCGGAGCGCCGCAACGTCGTCGTCGTACGCCATCGTCGTATGCCGCGACACCGTCGTCATATGCCGCGACACCGTCGTCATATGCCGCGACACCGTCGTCGTACGCCGCGGGGAACCGCCGTGGAAGTAGACGACGATGGGGACGGGGGCCGGCTCGGCGTCCGCGTCCGCGGTGGGCGAGGGGGAGAAGACGCGCGCCCACAGGCCGCGGGAGGCGTCAATGGTGACGTCGGCGAAGCGCACCCCGAGGCGTCCGGGCGGGACGTGGCGCCATACTTGAGGTCGCTGAGGGAGAAGAGAAGGTGCCGGACGCTGCCGTCCCGGCGGTGCGCTAGCGCGAGCGCGGCCAGCTGGACGCGCACCGTCCACGGCAGGGACAGCGTCCGGCGGGCGTGGTCGTCGGAGCCTCCCATTTCTGGCAGTCCATTACGATAGGCACCGGCACTCCACCTCACTGTCAGTCTGCCACAGTACTCAGTACCGAAGCAGTGTCAAACAAGGTCTGCACGGAACGAAGCAGTGTCAAAGAAGAGAAGGGGCATTTTGGTACTTCTGAAAAAATATGACAGGGTCAACGCAGTCAACTGATGGAAATGGACGGTAGTCCCATTTACAGAATAAAATTTTAACTCGATGCCAAATAAAAAAGTTCAAAAATTTTAGTGCTAAATAAAAAAGACTGATTTGTTCCAGTGCCAAATACATAATTGCCCCTAACAAAAAAACCAACACCTAATTAAAAGTCAAATGCCAAAAAGCCAGCTTTTAAGTCAAAATACTAAAACCTACATGTCAAACAAACAAACCATTAGCACTGCCGGAGGTAATCATATATATACCCGAGCCTGAATCTGCGGAGAATGAAGGTAGTCCTCACCATGGACAGCATGCTAGGTGTGCATGCATTCTTTTTTTGCGAATTACACAGTACAATGCAGACACTCACAACACATACACTCATCCTAATGAACGCACACACACACAAAGCCTACTTTTATGAGCATATTTGAAGACTGAACCGATAAATCATCGAGATCGATAAAGTCACTATAGGCGCTTCACTGTCGATAGAAGCGTCGTTTACCACTGAAAGCACAACGTTGTTGTTAGATCATGAGAGTTTTTTTTTAGGACAAGATCACGAGAGATGAAGAAGAGAATCTGACAATTGATCCAGTTGTATGTCTGGCAATAGTGCAACAATACTCGGTCAGACAAAAAGGAGGATTTAGAGGGCCTGGCTTCGGCTTTCTATACAGAGCTGTTTACAACCCAACCTGAAACAGCACCAGGCGAGGTTCTGGCCCATGTGCTAGCGCGCGTCTCGGATGTGATGAATGAGGCGCTGGAGGCTCCATATACGCCACAGGAGGTGGAAAGGGCCCTGTTCCATGATGGGGCCGTGCAAAGCACCCGGGCCGGACGGCTTCACGTCGGGGTTTTACCAGACCCACTGGGAGACTGTCGGCCCAAGCGTTACCAATGCAGTGTTGGATTTTTTGAATGGAGGGCATCTGCCGGTGCCGGATGATATGAACCGCACGACTCTGGTGCTTATTCCAAAAACCAAGCATCCGCAGGACCTAAAAAACTTCAGACCGATTTCTCTATGCAATGTCATTTACAGGCTATGCTCCAAAAGTGCTTGAAAATAGAATACGGAGTTTCTTGGATGATATCATATCAGCAGAACAGAGCGCCTTTGTCTCGGGACGTCTGATCACGGACAATGTGATGGTGGCGTATGAATGTACCCACTATCTAAAAAGGAAGAAGGGCAAGATCATGGTTTCCAATATCGGCCGAAATATCCTGATATTTTCGATATATTCTCTTTATCCGTAGGTGCTGATAAGAAAATATCTATCTTTTTCGTACAAATTTTGTTTAAATTTATTTAAATTTACTTAAATTCAAATTAAATTTTATTTGAATTTGGTCCGATATTTCCGATATATCCTGTTTATTCTCTTTATCTGTGACCCCCGATAAATTTTAATTTCTGAAAATGAAAACCTTGCAAGATAGGAGCGGGTGCGATCAAGCTGGGCATGGCAAAGGCATACGATAGAGTTGAGTGGAACTATCTTCAAGGCATGATGCTAAAATTGGGCTTCACAGAGAATTTCGTGAATACTATTATGAGGTGTGTCACTACTGTTTCCTTCTCTGTTTGGGTTAATGGCCAATTATTTACTCCATTCAATCCGTCCAGGGGAATTCGTCAAGGTGACCCTATATCCCCCTATCTATTCTTGATATGTTCAGAGGGGTTATCCTGCCTGCTACGGTCGGTGGGGCCGCTGCACCTTTCAAGGGGGCTACGGGTGGGGATTCATGCCCCATGGATCTCTCATCTTTTATTTGCAGATGACTGCATTGTCTTCTCAGAGGCCTCGGAGAGAGGTGCTGTGCGGCTACAGGAGATTTTGAACACATGCAGCCGAGGCTCGGGACAGTTAGTGAACAAAGACAAATCCGCAGTTTTCTTTAGCAAGAATTGTGAAGATGAGACTAAAGAGGAAGTGAGATCAATTCTGCAGATCAATACAGAAGCACTAGCAGAAAAGTACCTGGGGCTTCCGACTGCCTTGGGACGTGCTACAAAAGAAGCTTTCGAGTATATGCCAACTAGAATCAGAAATCTGGTAGGCGCCTGGAGTGGTCGAGAAGCGAGCTGTGCTGGTAGAGAGGTGCTGCTGAAATCTGTTTCTCAGGCAGTACCGACCTACCCGATGAGTTGTTTCCTGATTCCAAAAGATACTTCTCGAAAGATGAAGTCTGTGATCTGTAACTACTGGTGGGGTAGTTCGGCGGACAGCAGACATATTCACTGGCAACGTTGGGAGCTGCTGACCCGGCCGAAGCCGCTTGGAGGTATGGGGTTTCGACATCTCAGACTATTTAACCTAGCAATGCTAGGCATACAAGGCTGGCAGTTGATTGAGAAGCCAGAGTCGCTATGCCCCAGGGTTCTAAAAGGTCGATATTATCATGATTCAGACTTTCTGTCAGTAACAAGGAAGAAGCACGCGAGCCACACGTGGCAAGCGATCCTATCTGGGAGAGAGGTTTTGAAGCAAGGGCTTATTCGCAGAGTTGGTGATGGCAATTCAACAAGGATTTGGCTTGATCGATGGACCCCAAACCATTTTAGCGGGAAACCGATCACCACGGGCTTGGACGCGCCAGTAACCATGGTGGCTGACCTCCTGACGCCAAGTGGAGAATGGAACGAGGAACTGATCAAGCAGGTATTTGTGAACGTGGATGCTCATGCAATCTTGAGCACACCTGTGAGAGGTTTGGAGGATGATGTCTGGGCTTGGGAACCAGAAGGACATGGACTCTATACTGTGAGATCGCTCTGTGATGAACAATGCCGACAATTGGAGGAGCATCGGGCCTCTTCCTCAGGTGGTATTACTTGGACCCGGATTTGGAAACTCTCTGTACCTCCGAAAGTCCGGGTTTTTTGGTGGCGGGTGGTGAATGGTTTTCTTCCAACCCACGGTGTGCTACATCGAAGACATGTCGCGCCCATTCCATTCTGTGAAGTATGTGGGGCGGATGATGAATCGATCAAGCACGCCTTACTAGACTGTACGATGGCTAGAACGTTCTAGGAGCAAGTGAAGGCATTTATAGGGGTGAAGCTGCCGATGTTGCATCCCATGATTCCCATGACGTGGGCCAGGGATATTGTTGATCCGGCAGTGCTCACAGCTAGAGATGCAACCGTTATCTGATGCGGCATGTGGGCTGTGTGGATGGCGCGAAATAAGAGACGCCATGGAGAAGAGGTGATGCCGGTGGGGGTATCGGTTCGGTGGGCAACAGACGCTGCGTTTGATCTCTGGCAGTTGGCTCATCCGATCAAAGAACCGGCATCGGCTGTGCGTTATCAGCAGTCCTGGAGAGCACCGGAGGTGGAATGGATAAAGTGTAATGTCGATTCTGCCTTCCAAGCTACGAACGGAACTGCTATGTCTGGAGTAGCTCTACGAGATCATGAAGGGAGAACTTGTGGAGGTAGGGTGAGACTGAGATGGTATGATCATTGCCTTAATGCGCTAACTGCGGAAGCACTAGCATGCCGCGACGGTATGCTTTACGCGCAGGAAAGAGGAGTGTGAAAGCTGATGATGGAAATAGACTGTCAGGTCTTGGTCAGTTTGTGGTCAGGCCGAGCGAACCAGAAGTCTGAAATCGACTCCTTGCTGAAACAGATGGATGGTCTTAGCCGGAGCTTTGAAGCCTTTGAATTGATGTTCATTAGTAGAAATTGCAATAGATTAGCTCATGAATGTGCTCGTCTTGTATCCCGTGATAACCAGGTGGAGGAGTGGCTTATAACCCCACCGGGTCTCAAGGGTATTGTAGACTCTGATTGTAACCTTGTTCATGGCTAATATATGAAGCTCCGGTTTCCCTAAAAAAAAAAGACAAAAAGGACTCATCAGAAGCTTTCAAGCAATGGACCCTTCCTTCCTTGCTCGTAGTCAGTCCGCGTGGTGATGGTGTTTAGCCGACTTGATTCTGCTAGGGATGGAAATGGGTTGACCCACAGCCTTGGCTTTAGACCCGTCCTGGCTTTGAACCCAGCCCCGTGGCTTCAAGGTAAATTTTAAGGTTCATGGGTCAACCCATTTCACTTAAAGACTATGACTTTCCTGTCTCAAATGGATAGAATTAGTCGAACCAAATATTTTTTGCTATCATAGGTGGTCTTTAAGTGCTTATCCTGAAAAAAAAAGAAGAAGACCAATAAATTCCAAAAAAGGTTGTTATGGATTAGATCAACCCATCATGTTACCGATTGGGTCAATAATTTTGGACCTATTGACCTATTTTAGGCTTTGAGGCCGACCCATGTGAGCCATTGGCCTTACTTTTATGAAACAGATCAACTACTCAATGGGTCAACCTAGCCCATTCCTACCGCCTAGCATTCGAGCAAACTTGCTCATTTGGCGGACATCAACATTTAGCTTATAGTTGCTCTTGCCTGGCCAGGAGCTGGTTGCGTTTGA